TCCTTATTTCCTTACTTCCAACTGTTTTAGTTGTTTTGATTGGACAGTACTTTTCCAGGGATTGTAGGGATTGTAATAAAAATTACAAGTTGAACTGAAGCATTAGCAGTAAAGATGGACAATATGTTTATGTTGTAGTAGATGCAACAACAAATCTCCTTCCACATGTGACTTCTTAATTCCTAGGACAAATTTGTACATACTGCAAAATAATTACAAATTACATACAAAGTAATTGACTTGTAATTCATGGAAAACTGATTTGAAATGATGTGGGCTTTGAAGCTGCTGGAAGAGAAGATTCCCAGTAAGAATTGATTTAACATTAGTGCCAATCAAAAAATCATTGCATTTGCGCAATCTACACATCACTGGATATGTTTGATACAACATGCTTAAACACTCAACCAGCAGCAGAAGGGCAAGTCTTTACCAGTATACTACCAAAGCCTTCTGTTTAGCTATTCCTTTATTTTAAAAATGCAAACTGATCTAATTTACCACATAATTCCTCCTGGATAAGAAAGAAAGGCTCAGAGCATTTCACAAAACTATTCCTTAGCTCAGTTATAGCCATGCCAGAGTAGGACTATCATCTCCACTGCAGCAAGCACTAAATCAACTCATACAATGTACTTCTTTGTGTACAGAACTGGACTAAATCCAAAATCTGAGACTAAGTTCTTTTGCATAAAACGATTGCTCTGTTTCTGTGTTTAGTGCTGCCTGCAGCCCAACAATCTTTGGAGTCACTCTGACACAATAAAAGAAATGCTTATTCAGAAGACATGATCTTTCAGTATGTAAAAAACCACCCACCACCAACAAGAAACAGATGGATTTTAACAGATAAATAAGGAATGAAGATTGAATTGACTATAGGGAGATTTATTTAGCAACTGTTTCCAATTTGTGTTTGGGAACTACAGTAGCAGCAATTTATGACAAGTCAAAGCCAACTTGCTATTTACATTGCATATAAACAAGCCTAAGTGAATAATTAAGCAACTGAAGTACTTGTTTTTCAAACTGTAGGCTAAGTTTAGAAGATACGATACCTCTTAGCACTTCTTGTTTCCTGAGAATACTAAGAATGATTAGCATCACTACACATACTGTGGAGTTTTGGAAGTAATTCCAAAAAGATACACAAGCAAACCTAATGCAAGTTCTTGCATTTATTCTAAGATTATATTCCTAATAAGGATATTGTCTTCATAAACAACATTTATTCAGAAATGAATGAAACACACCAAATAAAGTTTGTTAAATGTCTTCTAAAAGCCAATCCAGACTGCATAAGCAGTCTTATATTCAATGAAATTTCAAGAATATTATTGCTAATAATACTAGGTTTAGTTACAGCAATTTCTGTTCAGCTGAAATAACTGATTTTTTTTTTTGAACAGATGAATTTCAGTCAGCATGTGCTGACATTTTTATTTCATTACAGTGCTTACACTTTAAACGAAATTAGTGAATTTAAAAGCCCAAGAGTCATTAGCATTGGCAACTAAAGTACTTTTTGCGTAAAATAATACAATATTGCAAATTTATTCATGTTGTTTGGCAAACATATCTCAGCTCTTTACCAACTATTTCATTGCAAGCCTTCAGACATTCACACCATTGTTAGTGAAGACAAAAACAATGTTTGATAGAGCACTGGGGGCAAATATTGAATTGAGTAACTAGAGTAATTATTGCAGAAATCAATGTGAATAGTAAGACAAGGAGCGTCATGATGGGCCACTTTGTTCACATGCTCTTTACTTTCCTCCTTTGATCTCTCGTATTTTCCTCTGACTTATTGTAACAGGCTGGTCTGACTGGGTGCTTTTGGGTACTGCTAGCTTCTGAAAAATTTAAAACTCATTACTACTACTTTTTGCAAAATGCTATAATTGTTTTATTATGTGGATATCTGTCTCCCAGCAACAAGGGTAAGATGAACAAACCATTTAAGATGTATCATTGAACAATTGATCTTAAATTTCAGGTGTCACATTATCATCATGTGTTAACATAGAGCAGGAATCACAATTGATTTTATATTCACAGTCCCATAGCAAGGACTTGTCATTTAATAAAAGTAGTATAAATAAATAAATATATATATATATAATATATATATAATATAGAAATATAGTGACCATATTTAAAATACTTATAATTTATTCCTGAGTGCAAAGACAGGCTAAACCTAAGGCTGACTGTATAATGATTACTTTTCCCATATGCACAATGTATGTCTTTATAAAATCATCATAGAAGCATAGAATCATCATAGAATGGTGATGCATATAAAAAAAAATGCAATTTTCTAAACAGTAAAGAACGCTATCATCTGTATATCTAAAGCCTTGTAAGATGCATATTATACAGTGAATGAAATGAAACTCTCCAGGCTTTTTATTCTTTGTTTAATTCCCTGGAGTTCCACAGATGCTATGAAAAGCCTTAAGACAGAAAGCATGACAGTACAGTATTTCATGCAGTATTTATATAAATTTACAAGCAGAATATTGCACTGTATGAATAATCCTTATAACTTCCAAATATTTACATTTCTAAATCTGACCTTTTATATGCCTACAGAAATTGCAGGAAATAAGCTTTCCCTTGTGTATGAACAGGAAGGTGGCTTATCTGAGTTTTAAGTCAAATTCAAAACATACTTCAAATGCAATTACCACACAGAAGACCTTGTTTATGTGAGTAACTACGTTACATATCTGCTATAGGAAATAGTGTGTCATGCATTTTGCTGAGCATATGCGTCAATACAGGCAAAAAAAGCAGATGTTATTTTTTCTTCTTTTAAATCAGCTGATAATCCATGAGCAGCTCTCAGTCTAGCATTGACATAAAATTTGAAACTTCTTCAGTTAAGAAAGCACAAACTTAGATAACAAATTATCCTAACCTGTGTTTCAGGCTTAATTCCAAAAAAAACCTTCAGACTGTCCCCTGCACAGAAATAGGACACAGGGAAGTCTGTAAACTCTCTAAAATTCTTCACTCTCCATAATGTTTAAGAAATTTTTCTTAGTTTCCTTAGTTTATGTCCAGCTAGTACATGAGCTGTCTGTTGGTATGAGTATGTGTTCCAACTTCCCTTAAACTGAACTATCCTCATACATCTATCAGAAAGATAACACTCTTAAATAATTTTAAAGAATTACCTGTTTGTGTTTTTCATACCACCGTGCTTTCATACTAACTGTTGTTTAGTTATGAAATGAGCTACTACATCCAGAAGTGATGTAGAATAGCAGGGAAATGTCTCAATTGATGCTTACAGAGAAGGTCATCAGACACTTAGCGGGTTTATATTTCTTAATATTTTAGCTCTTTCAAAATCATAAATGGCAGATATCGATGTACTAAAACAGCTTCTTATTTATGTACTTATTTAGTGGTGGAGGATTGTTATAAATCCATTGTAATTATTCCTGTTGGCTACTTACTGGTCTTTTCTGGGAGGCAAGCTAAAAACTATTAATGGCATGAATTAAGCACTACTTTCTTATAGATTACGCCCTTTTTAAATTTTGATACCATCATTTTCTAAGTTTCTGATTAACCAATCAATTCTTCAGCATTTAAAAGTTTACTTTCTTCTATATTTTTTCATTATGCTATAATGTGTTCTTTAACACTGCTAGTTACTCATCTGAGCTTTCTGCGAATTAGTTGTGACCATCTGGCATGTAGTTGCTTTGGTACAGACAAAAATATTGTGTAGCTCTCACTCACGATACAACTGCTTCAGAATATCTACTTCTTGACCCATTGATAGTTCATTTACTAGAGGATTTCTTAAGAAGCTAAAGTTAGCAGCAGATTTATATTTGGGTATGTTAGAATCATTGCATGTGGAAAAGCAACAGGGCTCCCAAGTTTGTGCAACAGATGTGAGGAGAAAGTTACTCACCTCCCTTTCTTCTTGTGACTGTGTTAGCAGAGCTGCTCACAGCAACCACTTACATACACTAGAGGTAGCCCCCAATTCACCATGTGCTGACTTTGTTGTTTTGGTGCCAAGGGTCCATTCCTGTCCCCCTTGCAAAGAAATTCCCAGCAAATGTAGGTTAGACTTTGAAGATGAGAGAGAGGACAAAAAGCAAAGACATGCAGAAGAACAAAAAAGACACGAAGAACAAAAAAAGTCCAGTAAAACAAATGGGCAGAAACAAGGCAGAAATTTGGTACGGTAGCCATGTTTCCACCTAGGACCCCCTTCATCCATATACTGAAAGGGACAAAGGTTTGGTAATGAGTGAATATGTGACTATTGTCTTTCCCCAGCACCAGGCTCTGCTCTGTTCAAAGAAAGAGAAGCATCTTATTTGCCTGATCAGAGTGGGGAGATTGCTTACCACAAAGACTCTGAAGCACCCAACAGACTTCCCAAAGCATCCTAAGGCAATTGGTGGGCACCATGGACCCCACCAGCAGGAGCTGCTGGCCTGCAAAGCCAAGCCAAGAAAGTGTCCTGCCTGTGAAGAAAGTTTTTTTGAGGAAAACAAAGGATGAGTGTTTTCAGATTATTTTGTTTCAGATGTCTTTCTCAGATGCTGCCCCTTGATTTCAGAAGTGGCCTTATTACACTTTATGTTCTGATAACAGCAACAGTGTTATTATTTTTCTGGTTTTAACTTATGGTATTGCAAGTCTATCTCAAGATTTTGAGTGTGTCTTGGTTTCAGTTAGAACAGAATTAATTTTCTTCCTAGTAGCTGGTGGAATGCTGTGTTCTGGCTTAGGATGAGAAGAGTGCTGATAACACCCCGATGTTTTAATCGTTGCAGAGCAGTGCTTACACTAAGCCAAGGACATCTCAGCCTTTTGCTCTGTCCTGCCAACAGGCAGGCTGGGGGTGCAGTAAGAGCTGGGAAGGGACAGACCTAGGACAGGTGACCCAAACTAGCCAAAGGGGTATTCCATACCATCTGACGTCATGCTAAACAATATATAGGGGTGGCTAGCTGGGGGGAGGGGGCCGGACTGCTTGGGGTGAGGCTGGGCATCGGTCAGCGAGTGGTGAGCAATTGCATTGTGCATCACTTGTTTGTACATACTATTATTACTTACCTATTATCACCATTGTATTATTATTATTATTATTATTATTATTATTATTATTATTATTATTATTTATTATTATTTTCCTGTCTTATTAAACTGTCTTTATCTCAACTCACGGGCTTCACTTTCCATTTCTCTCCCCCGTCCCAGAGAGGGAGGGGGAAGGGTGAGCGAACGGCTGCGTGGTGTTTAGCTGCCGGCCGGGTTAAACCACGACAGAGTGACTTGGAATTCTAACACAGTCATAGTCTACCTGTGATACGTTTTCATTTCTGAACAGCGGTTAATGATAGTACTGCTCAATGTATATAAAACTTCTTACAGTGGCTCTCTTCCCTGTCACCACCTTAAAAAAAAAAAAAGGGTTTACACAAAGACTTTTTGTCTCGCTCACCAATTAGACATATATCCCAACCAGAACTTCCAAATTGACCATTAGTCTTATGAGGCAAAGTAGGAATGAGCTTTCAAGTGCTTGCTTCCAACAAATGTAACTAGAAACATTTCACACTATCAACATTTACCAGAAGAGGAAAGAGCTGTATAGAACTGGAAAAAGGTGGCATTTTTTTGTTTGTTTGCTTGCTTTTTTACAGGCACTTTCTGACAGAATTGCCCATTAAAATGAGAAAGCAATCTGCTCCCAGATACCCTGGCCAGAACTTGAAAAATGACTGGAAGACTTCATAAAACTCCTAATGTAATTAATAGAAGTTGTGTACCTATGCTGCCTCTACAGCTTTCAAAACTTCAGATTATGTCTGCTGCTTGGTCCTACCACTTGCAACACTTAATTCAGAAAAAAAGAAAACTTTGTGTTTGCTATTTCTAATTCTTGAGTCAGGGCAAACAATTAAACAATAATGTCTGTCAAATATACTCTTATTATGTAAATTAATTTTATTCAAAACAGATTAAAAAACTAACAGAGCTTGCCTAACTACATGAGGTAGTACATGTAGCAAAACAGAAGGCAGAATATAATATTTTGAAATATGAAGAATATGAATCAGTTTACAAGTTGAAAGGAAATAAATTCAACAACAGAAATAAAAAAATAACAAAAATAAAGTTTAACAGCTTTTCAGTCTTAAAGCACAACACACTTTTCATAGAAAGAAACATAGTATCACCATTACATGTTCTTCATATACCATAATATGGTAAAATTAATGCACAAGGCTGTTCACCATAAATGAATTTTTTTAAATGGTGAAGCAACAAATGACATTATTGTCAATGGGCTCCATACCACTATACTTCCTGGCCTGCAGGAGTATTTGCCAGGTCATGAGGAGCAAGGTTAGCCTTTGTTACCATTTTCATTTTCTTAAACATTTACCCTCACAGTTTTGTATAGTATACGGATACCATGTACATCTTAAGCCCTCAAGCTTACAAATCATTATGTATGTGTACAAATCTATGGTTTTACTGAAACCCAATTTTGGTAAATTGAATGAGTCACATGGTAGAAGTAAAGCACATATGTGTGCAGAACTGCACTGTATATCTGATGAAATTTCTTAATTTCAGGTTACTTGACTTCTCAATATGAAAATTTTCTTTTAGACTCAGATCCTCCAAGGTTATACACGTCTCACTCAATCTCCCATCTCAAGGTAGGTGAATACATGTGAAGGACTGGGTCATAAATGAATTGGGTACTTGAACTAAAGAGCTCACCAGCATCCAATAAATGTTTTATTTAAAATATTTAAGAAATAACAAACATGAATGGACCACTCTCATTGAAATACTTCTTGAGATGAAAACATACTAATACGACCCAGGACTTCTCCAGGTTTTCTATTTTATTTTAAATTGGTATTTGTACTTGTCACGATTAGTGTGAAATTGAAAACAGTCTAGCTCTTCATTTACGCTTGCATGGCTAATGCTACTGTAAATCATCAAAAAGTTATATAGATATTTATTTCACTTTAAGGCACGATTTATTATACTGAATTATTAGGATGGCTTCTTTTATGTACATTGGAAATAAAAACTCAGGCCTCCCTATGGTATAGTTTTAAGGTTACTGTTAGTGGCATATATAAAGCACCATACAATATTATAAAAAAGTCATATTGAAATATCATAATAATATCATAAAGAAAACAGAACATTTATGAGCTTTGAATTAACTGTATAAGAGTAACTGCTAAGAAAATATAGCAATAATTAACACAGGATTCAAAATATTGTTATATATCAATATACATTTTCAACTGAATTTTTCTCCCATGTTTACTTTTACAGATATTTTCATTAAGATATATATGTAATTTAAACTTTTTTGGTGGAAAGCAGTATATATACTCTGTACAAGAATGTTACAGCTTTATACAAATTATAGAAATTACAAGAAATGGCCTCTATTATTCTCTTCCAAGTGCTCTGTTTTCACTTGCCTGTTTTACATTCTTCTCGCTAGACTCAAACAACAGCAAATACTCTGAATGCCTTGCTTCCTGGAGGATTCTGTAAACTGAAACACAAAAAACATTCCTGGAGTTATTTTTAAGACTGACACTCCAATGACTTTTCTTTCTGAATTGTTAAATACAGTTCTAGGGTCCTGCAACATTTCCTGTGTCTACTACTCATAACTTTTACTACCTTTTTTTTTTTTTTTTTAAAAAAAATTACCAAACTTTCATATTAATTTTTCTTCAAAGAAAATTATTGAGATCAAATTGTAACACAAAAATTTCAATAAATCCTAAGTTGATTCTAATTAAAAGAATTAAGCTTTAAATAATAAAGCAAAACTCTTAAAAAAAGTTTGAGGGGAAAAGAGAAAGCATGCATCTTATGTTGGCCATTCTATATAATTCTATATAATAACTATATTCAGATAATTTTTAGACCCTGGAGATTACTTGTTCACCGGTTGCACGTATTTCTAAAGAGAATTTATATTTTGCAAATCAAAGGAAATATATTTAAAATATTGATAGCCTTCTGAATGGCTAAATAGCTTTAAAAGAAATTTTTAAAAAAAAAAAAAAAAGAGAGATTTGGTAGAATATGGTTTATTTTATACAACAAAAATATAACATTTCATATTTAATGGTATCATGATTTTCTATTTTGCAAAACATATATGAGACCTATTTAAGAAAGGAAAACAGAACAAAAATAAAGAATATGGTGTCTGCACTGGCATTGCAATCTTCATTACAATTTTTCAGCTTCACAGAAAACTTGCATGGAACTGCTCTCCTAACCATTGACTTTGGCTTCATTGGGATGGTAAAGTACAAATAATGATTAAATTTGCAACATTTTTTTTTTTTTGATTCCTTTTCTTCTCAGTGAGGAGATTTAGGTGGAGAACATAAGTGTCAGTATGGAACCACTCTTTCTGAGGGAAATGGACATTAATAGGGAAAATGGGGTTATTCATGAAGCAAATGAAAGATGTATTTTAAAAGTTTCTAAATTTGCATAAAGGTTTATGAAGTAAAGGGGCATGTCCCCCCCCAAAATAAAATAAAATAAAAATAAGAAAAAAATCCTTTTTCTCCTACATCCAAGTTCTCTAAAGATACTCTTTTAGATTTTTCCCACACAAACTTATTGGTTTTAGAGGTAACATTCTTAGCTTTGCAAGACAGAAAGAGTGGCACAAGGGCTTTTTTTACGGCCATTTATTTTTCTTCCTATAGAAACTGTAGCATTCTTTAAATAATTACATTTGAACTGCAACATGTAGCCATGTGTTATCATCATAGAGGATGCTAATACACTGAGTATAAGTAAATGAACTTTCACACCACTTCCATGTCTTTCAGAAAAATACTGATATTGAATACTGATATTGATTATACTGAATACAGTAAAACCATTAAAAATATAAAATAATAAAAAAAATGTTTAATGTTTTGTGAATATCATTTATGAACCAGGTTCACTGATTTGACTCTATGTAAATTTGTAATGATCTGTTCATTGCAGATCCTCTCAGACAGAATAGATCACTGACGTTAATGTAAACATTCTTTGGTGTTTTGCCAAAGAAACCAGAAGTGATTTTCTTATCAAATATTGTGTTAGTTGCAACATAAGCAAAATAATAAACACGAGGATTTTTTTTTGTTTTGTTTGTTTTTTATAAGAAGCTTTTTAGAGTAAAGATTTACAAGCTTAGAAGAGGCAAGCGGTTCTTGTACCACAGCCTCTCCAAAGTCACTGCAGCTGTTACACAAGCTCTGTAAATAACCCAAGTTGGCCTATTTGTTGGGTTTCTAGCACTGCCCCAGGTACAAAGATACATAATACAATACTTTGTAAACCTTATTGAGGTGAAGGGTAAACAGTAATCTTCGAAAATGGGCTCTGTACCTTTCTGAAAATATCCCATTTTGAAAGGAAGCAATGTACACCTTTCTTTTGTCTACAGGCATAACATCAACGTAACCACCTTGGTTGCGGACTACACCAGCATGTACAGCTGCTCGGCAGATACTGGATATCTAAGAAAGAAAGAGGGTAAGTTTAGTTTTCATTCATTCTCTTATTTCAAAATTGTTTAGAAGAAAACAAATAAAGATGCCTAAGCTAAATTATAGGAAATGTAAAATAATTACAGTCATCACATGACTGATTTTATTAATCTTTACAGTACTTAAATCAGATTCATATGCCAGTTTATAGGAATATACCGCTGCCTATTCAATGATCTTCTACAGTGTGATTCAAAAATCATTTATTTCAGCCTATTTCAGTTCAAGGACCTGTTCACATTCTTGAGCTTTTCAAAATGAAAAGCTTTATCCACCATCACTTCAACAGCAGAGAAGGTAGTAAAAACCAAACCAAAATTATTATAGATCAGGAGATTCAGTTTAATCTCCAGCCAGAGTCAAGTACTGGAACAGCAGAACAGCAAAAGCACACTGTATGTTTCTAGGAAGAGATGTCCTCCCTAAAAATTGACTGTAATAATTCTATCTCTAGCTCAAGAATCTCAAACAGCAGTGAAATTATCCATAATGTTCAAGGGAACATTAGAATATCTTACATTGACATGGGCCAATATTAAAAGCTAATTATATTTAAATTATTATATTAAAATTGTAATATAAGCATCAAACAAAACAAAGTGATCTAAAACAATCCTAAGCTTCCTTAGTTTTACTCAGGCAAAACTCTCTGTGAAATTAACAGCAGTTTCATCTATGTGAAACCTAAAATCTGTCCACTAATGTCTTGTCATGAAAATGTGTAGCATAAATAATATTTATAGAAGGATAGTTCAGAATGTTGATTAAAATAATTGATTTAAATTTGTAGAGCTCCACTACTCTTTAAGCATGCAAAAAAACAATTGCCAGAAGTATGAAACTTCTTAGTGTAGAATGTATGTCCCAATCTACTTCAATACCCAGCACTACAAAACACAGCTCAAGCTACAGTGAATGTCCACTTAAAACCAAGTTGTTCTGTGGAAAAAAAGAAAAGCCTTCACTGGAATAGGTCTCTCCTCTCCTCAATCAACCTTAAAAACTAAGCCAATACAAATATCAATAGCTGGTTACACAGACGACTATTTAAACAAGAGTTGCATTTCTTCCAGTTATAATTGGAATAATTTATATCTGTTCCTGTAGCTATTTTGTAATCTCAATGCTATATAAAATCAGGAACTTAAAATAGCAATGGTTTTCCTACTCCTATTTCAACCACAGAAGCTGCTAGTTTTGATGTTATATAGTTTGTCTTTTAATGATACAATATTTCTGAGAATAATGATTTGAACCTGTTTATGCAAAGAATGTTTAGCAAAGACACTTTAGAGTTTTTCTCTTCACCCTGCTGGCAGCTGCTTTTGAACATGCCAGAAGGGATACCATTCATGCTCCTTTGTACTTTAACTCTTCCTCCCTAATCTGCCAGACCTTCATTATATCCTGAACAGTAGTAGTCACCTTATTTTTAGGATTACAGTATCCTTTATGTACTCATATTATGGGAGTACCTAAAGATAATACTGCTTGTGTACAATGTCTAATATACAGGAATATAAATAGTCCCTGCAAATACAGGATTACAGTCTAAGGAAACAAAAGACAAGATTTACAAGCATTTAACTACACTGAAGAATTAGAAGAACTCTATTAATTGCTAGTACTATAATATTGTAGCAATTTAGTTTTCAATTCACATTGGAGATATAAAGCAAGCTAGACGTACAATAGAGTAAAATAAAAATCACAGTTTGTCACCTCTGTAATAATAACCACTGCACTTGTTGTATATCACTAGAAAGGACAATACCTTCATAATTACATTTGAGGGTGGCTAAAATAATGACTACTTTAATGCTATTTGGAAGTTTATGATCAAATGCATAAGAAAGTAAAGATAAAACAATGGAGGTAGAATGACAAAAGAGGCCGACTTCTTGTTAGAAACTATTTCCAGTATAGGGTGGAGTCATTGCTAGAGTTGGTACCACAATTGATTACTGGATGGTTAGGCTAATGTAAAACATTTTAAACCTAAAGGCAAGATGCTTACATGGGATATGTGAAAAAGATGAGGTCAGAAAAATGGGGTTGAAGAGGTCAAATCAAGAGATGATTATCAGATGAAAAATAAACTGATATTCTAATGCTGCTTTACAGATGAGCCTGGAGCCTGGCTCATCTGCTCATAAGGTATCCACAAATGTGCATACCTTATGAATATATGAACAATTAAATGAGTACAAATTCATAAATATGAGTTATATGTATACCAATGAATAAATCCATATAGCTTTATCACATTTTTTTTGAGGAAGTTTTATCTGCTTTGAGCTTTCAAGAACTTTTCATTGGCTTCATCTAAATCGAATCAGATCCCAATATTGATGCCGTAACATTTACTACTCAGTAATGTTTCACCACCCTGATCACACTTCCCAGAACTGTTAAGGTAAAATTCCTCTTAATTTAAACTGAATAGGATTTCAAATCTCTGTCTATCACAGAATTCAGTATATTATTGATAATTTTACATTAGCAGCCTCATAACACTTTCTGCAAGTGTTCTCAAAGATTTGGGTCTGTTTGTTTAATTTTTGTGAACTCACTCTGAAGGATATATAAGGCAGTATTTTAAGGTAACATAAACATTTCATGCAACATTATACGACTCTGCTTTATTGCTGTGCTGTGAACCCTCTGACATTCATTAGTATTTAACAGGTCATAGAATCTGAATACCAAGCTGCTTAATTATTTTCCTTCTTTAGCTACTCAGCAAAATACCAAATATCTACCACACCATAGCAGTACTCTGCAAACCACAAGCCTTTCTCCCTCAGCCTTGCAGAACTATAGAACTACTTAATAGTAGTTTTATATCATATTTCACTACAGCAGAGAACTATGAAAGTTTTCGCACAAGAGGTAGGGAAATATTTCCGCATATGGTTATTGAAACAAAAATTCAAAATCCTCAGATGGTATGAGCTGATAAAACTCCATAATTTTTTCAGATAAAAGACTTTTGCTGATAGGTAACCACCAAAAGTAGATTCTTTTTTTTTTTTTTTTTTGTAGAATTGCTCTATCAACACTCACAATGTAGAGCTACTGCTACTAGAAAGTGGTTGTCTTTGGGAAAATGCTGCCTCATATGAAAACAGCATGATAAATACATACAATATAAATCTTATACAAACAGTCACTGCAATCTCAAAGCTAAAAGAAAAGGGTGGGAGAACCGATAGGGTAAAAGTTCTGTGGGGCACTATCTACAAATCAGAGAACAGATAAAGGAGTAGCAGTAAAATATTAATGAATATAAGAATGAATGACTGATCAGACCAAAGCTAGATACAGAAATGCTTATCTAGATTCTCATGAATACTGCAGAAATGGTTTTGTAAACATATGTTTTTGATGTGACATCTGTTGTTATTTGTTTTTATTTAATAAATATTGTTGTACATTTACTGAATGCAAGTGGCCTAAGTACTAGTGCAAATAAATAGCCATGTGCATGTTATTTGTACATACATACATATGTGTTGTTTTTTGTTTGCTTGTTTGTTTGTTTTTTAATGAAATAGCATCACAAAAAATCCACCATAGATTTTGTGGAATCCACCAAGTAGATTCCACAAAATTGCAATTTGCAATATGCTTGCTATGACAAGTGGGTAAATGAATTCCCTGTATCTGCAGACAAATCTATTAATACATGAAAAGCTGAAAAAGAGGATATATTTGTTAAATATTCTCTATAATCCTGAAACTAGTTCAGTTATAAGACAGAATGAACAAAATATACAGTCATATTGCATAGTGAAATTTCCAATAAAAAGGATCTTATCTTTAAAATAATTTAAATGATAGAAACAAAGAAACTGTAGAAAATCACATAAAGCCAATAGTACCAATGGGAACATATAAATAGGATGTGTCTGTCTAAATCTTAGCTAGGTGCCCTAGGACACTTCTGTAGGAAACGGAAAGAAATTGACAGATCTAGTAGGCTATTCATCCCATACTGAAGGAGATACTCATAAAAGGTCAAATGAATTCTGCTTTGCCTATTCATCTCTTTTACCACTGCTACTACAAACTGCTATAAACATAACACAGATGTCCAGTTTCAGTGTGGATATCTACTCTCTCAACATCTGAAGTTAATAGGAAGACTCCCATCCCTGTATCTTACCTGTATTTATGTCCATTTTTTCCTAAAAGCAGTATGGCTGCACACATTTCTATACAATGGACATGAATAATGAGACAGTATATCTACAATAATTTTAAAGCACAACTCTCTAATACTAATTAAAGTAAGCTGGGACTTTTCTAGCCAAAGCAAATATGAGATTTTCTCCTGTATAAATTAAACAGAAATAGGTCTTCTTTCTCCCACAACATAATCTCTTCTGTCTCACAGGGAAAATTTAGCTGTTACCATTCACTGCAACCTCAGAACTGGAAGAAAACTGTGTTTGACAAAATTAACTATCACTGAAACTATTTTCACTCCCCTCTTATGCACATTAAGGACCCAGTTGCACAGGCATAGATTAGTGTTGCTTACTGAACTGGAAGAGCTTCTCATGCACAGAGGACAGGGACACAAATTATACAAGCAATCTACTGAACACTAGTTAGTTGCAAAATAATGATGAACAATTGTTTGCATACTATTTTCACGTATTTCGAAGAGGTAGAAAATACTGAAAATCATCTTCCTACCCAGCTGGGCACCATACTACTCTGTACGACAGATAGAGTTCCAACATGCAGCTTATTGGTAAAAATGTGAACTGCTCTCTCTGCCACTACATAGTGGCTTCTCCAAAGGGAGACGAAAAAGCAGAGAAAAAAAAAAAAAGACTGAAAAAAATGCAGTATTAGTCTTTCACAATAATATAACTGTGAGATATTTTACTCAAATATATCAAAATCCTTCTTCAAATATTTAGCTATCTAAAATGATCTACAATGATAAGAAATATCCAAAACAATGAGAGTGTTGACATATATTTTCAGAATAATTTTTGGTTAATTGGAAAGAAGCTTTGTTTACATTAGGGTCTAAAAGGCAAGGGTTTATATCATGGAATGGCTTGCGTTGGAAGGGACTTTAATGATCATCCAGTTCCAACCCCCCTGCCATAGGCAGGGATGCCACTCATCAAATCAGGTTGTCCAAGGCCCCATCCAGCGTGACCTTGAACGCCTCCAGGGATGGGGCATCCATATTCTCTTGGCAACCTGTTCCAGTGCCTCACTACCCTTACAATGAAGAATTTCCTCCTAATCTCTAATCTAGAGATTAGAGATTACTCTTTTTTAGAAATTACTTTTTTTTTAATATTTTTTTTTTAATTTTTTTTTTTAGAAATTACTCTTTTACTCTAATCTCTAATCTAGAGATTAGATTACTCTTTTACTTTAAGACTACTCCCTCTTGTCCTATCATTATCTACCCCAGTAAAGAGTCCCTCTCCATCCTTTTCATAAGACCCCTTTAAGTAGTGAAAGGCTGCAACAAGGTCTCCCTGGAGCCTTCTCTTCTCCAGGCTTAACATCCCCAGCTCTCTCAGCCTTTCTTCATGGGAGAGGTGTTCCAGCCCTCTGATCATTGTATTAGATGGCTGATGAGTATACATTGCCAATACTGAGCAAATCAATGGGAATTTTGATCAAAAACTGAAAACATGTATCCAGAAATTGCTGAAATCTAGAATGAGTTTTTAATAAAAATTCCATATCATCAGCGGCTGAGTACTTAAATGGAAGTCTCTGACAAAACACTTCAGAAAATACTGTTATAGCACATCTTTTTTCTGATATTAGGTCTAAAAAAACCTGCATGTGGAGGAAAAAATGATATTTACATGATAGTATTATCTTTACATTATAGCTTGTCATAGGACTTTATATTTCATTATATAATGCAATGAAAATCACATTACTTACATCAGAATAAATTCGTGTTCCAATTACTCGAGCATAGTGTGGATTTGCCTGCATACAGTTACGAGGACAATACACCCTGAAATATGGAAAATAAAGCACACTCAGGAACAATGATATTAGAGTATTACTATATAATATATTCAACATCAGCATTTTTGAGTATCAATCTATTTGATGACGCATACAGACATACATACTGACGCTAAAAGGCTATCAGTTTTTGAGCTTCGGTTACTATTGACTGAAAAGCATTGCTGATGTAACTTGTGGTTCACAATAAAGTGCTTGAAAACATTCTTCAACAGGTCTGGTCTTCTTCCTCCTTTTAGATAAGCAGGTCATTTCTTCATTTAACATATGTGAGGACAGTAGAAAAGCCAGCGTATCATTATCTGTTTTGACAGCATTCTATCCAAACAGTATAGCTGAATACTTTCTCAGGAGATGCATACATGAATGAAGACCTGTTACGGTGCTGATGAGCTGGTGATTAAAGAAATTTAGCAACTTATCGTGAGGGTGAGCACTTAACATCTATGGATAAAATGGAGAAACTTGGAAAGTAATGAGATTTTAGGGGATCAGAATGCTGCTAAAACACAGTCTGCCTTATTCATCTGCATTTTGTTAATCTTTTAGAAAAAACTTTCTGTGTTTCATGAATCCTATAGCTCCAATATATACAGGACAACTATGCGGAAAGATAGTATAGTGTAGTATAGAAGGTAGCAATCATTGTGTTTGAAAATTATAATATGCTACAAGGATATAGTAAACCTCAGATCTACTCTGAGAGGGTGTTTCATTAAAATTGGGTCATGACTTTACGGCTCTGAAGCCTTACTTCTTGGGGCAGCACTAGGAAAACATCCTTCACTGGGATACTATCTACACTCTAGTCAGTATCTGGCACGTCACAGCCCTTGGGTCTTATCAGATGGGTCATTGAAACAAGCTGTTGCAGCTGGAAGGGAGAGTTTTTCTCTGAAGGAAGCAAGAAAGAAGCTTTAGAAGACTTGATGATTTATGGTTAAGGCATAAGAAGGAAAAAGTAGCTTCTACAATCAGTGCCATTACTGATGATTAGCGCTTGTAGTTCCTGAGACTACATTTTCAGAATTATGTTAAGGACATGCACAGAATCTTGAATGGATCATTGCTGTTCAGAAGGTTCTTAAACTGATGTTATCAGAATTAATCGGTCATTTTAATGCTATTTTTATTTTTCTTTTTTCTTAAAGACAGACTGTATTTTTCTCCTAATGAAGCTAGTTTTATTTCATTTATTTATTTTATTTATTTATTTTATTTATTTTTCAATTAAGGAAAAAAATAAAGAAGGGAGAAGTATGAGATTTTATCCATCCATTCCTGCATTCCACTCCTTTGCTTGCTTCTCCACATCTTCCAGCTAGAAAGCTAGGAGTCACAGCCAAACACCAAACAAGTCCACGGACCCAAGTGCTACATGAAGCAATGTTTTCCTAGCAGTTCTGGCTTTGTGCTTGCTTCCTGTATTGGCGGTAGGATTGCTATGAAAGTACTCCTGTGGATACCTCCAGCTTAGCTTGCGGTAAATCATGCTACAGAGTATTTACCTTTGACTCATCTATGGTTTTCAGAACTGTTACAGATTTACTTCCTCAAAATATTGAGGCATAGGCTTCTTTCAATAAGTGAAAACATAAGCTTCAAAGAAATGGCACATTTCTTTGACTGAAAGCAGTTAACTGACTTGCAGACCATACCTGACCTTAACAATATATACTTCAATCATTTTGCAAATATATTTGCTCACTCCAAAATTCCCAAACAATTTGATAACTTCTATGACAAATATTTTTATCAGTTCCTTTTATTGTATCTGTTTTACAGGTAAATAAATTGAAATAACATGTCTTTTGCTCTAGGTGCATAGATTTAATAGTGGAAAATTAAAAGGAAAAATGGATCTTTCCTCACAGTGTTTAGACTAACCAAATCTTCACTAAGATATAACAAGAGAGCAAAGAAAGATCAGGAGCTTCTCCTTGTGAAAAGAGCCTGCAGATTATCTTTCACTTACCTGGCCTTCTATTTACACCAAAGACAAATATGTTAGTAAAACATTTATGACTTCACTTTTACAGCTTTTACTGTCACCTTTGTCAATGACAATTACAGATAATTATTATCTGATGGAAAATATGGGAGCACTTTGTAATAATAAAAGATTCAAAGAATTTTACCTTGGACAGTGTGAGGCTGGTTTTTGAAAAGGACACAATTGTTCTACTGTTGTTTCACAGGTGATAGCTTGAACTGAATAAAGTAAAACAGAAACCAATTAATGTGTGCTATTTAGAAAACTGTAATTCAAAGTAACTGAGTTTATAAGAAATAAATACTAACCTGTAACTTTAGAGACTGTGAAGGAATTGGCAGATTGGTATTTTCTAAACAAGAAATAATAGAAATAGTCAATAAATAACATCTTTTAATGCTTTATGTCTTTTATGTCATTTTAGCTAGTCAATTTTTTATTAGTAAATATAGAAGAAAATTCAAGACATTGTCTCCTTTGTTAACGAAGGAGACAATGTCTCCTTCACTTATTCCTCACTTACGTCTTCTTAACGAAGAATTATGTACTATTGTGCTACACAGAAGCAGAAGTTTGCTGAAACGATGAAGAGAAGGTATAGGCTTGGTCCTTTATTTATGTATTATGTACTATGTATTTATGTAATATGTATTTAATCCATAAGGCCTCTAACATATTTTTTCTAGCACCTCAATCACAAAACCAAAACCAAATTAGACATTACTGTCAGCTATGATACAATTATTATCTGTACCCACAGTAAACAAAAATGAGTTTGGATACCTCACTCCTGTGTTCTGATACTCAGAAGATAGTGCCAAACACGCTCTGTAGAACAGACACTCGTATGGTTTTGTCTCAGATGGCATAGAAATACACAGATTTCAAGTGATGGGAAATCAATTCCTTTCACTTTGAAAAAAATCTGTAGTTTAATTACCACTACTTTTGTAAGAAAGTTGACTCCTAATCCATCAGTATCTATTTGCTTATCTCTTTGTCTCGAAAAGATTTTAAAAAGAGATAATTGCATCTTCATTTTAAGGAGGGGTAATTTAAACCACAGTCAAATAATCTGATGACCCAAAGAAACACATTACTTAATTGACAATTAATTCATTATTTAATCAATTAATATCAATGCCTGAAACAGTGCTTTCTAGGCCTCTGAATTTAGTCTACCTAGCCAGTGTTTCCTTCTATTCTGAATTACGTAAATCTGTTGACAAGAGAAATTATGACAGGTTTTACAGCATGTGAAATCAGTTTGCAGAGAACAGAGAGACACAGAGACACAGCAGAAACTAAATACATCATTCAATATAATTCTGTTTTCTTTCAATACGGTATTACTCATACCCTCTTGCATGTACGCTACTATTACACATACACTAACATACAGCAATGTACAACTCTCCAGAATACATTAAGATATAGTGAAGTGTAGTTTGCAGATATTATTAGTATCTTAGATTCCAGCATACTTTAGTTATTAATGGATATTTATACATGGTAGCAGTCAAGCTGAGAGACTCTACTTTTATGTACTTCTTCTCTGGTTTTGCTTTCAGCATGTCAGTGAGTATTTGGATCTATTTTCACATACCAGTCTCTGGATAAGCACCTGAACAGTGTAGTACAAAGTCCAAATTAATTTTCCACAGCATGCAGTATTATTCTGTTTTTGGCCAATGCAGAAATTGAGCAAAGTTTTGTGCAAAATATCATAAGTATATTATGGAATTGTAATGAAACTATCAAAAATGTAAGTAGAGATGTTGGTTGTATTACCAGCTTTGTAATAACAAATATAGTAAATGTAAAAACATTTAAAATAATCTAGTTTAGCGTCAGTGTGTACTACTTTTTTACAATAAATCATTTACATTTACAAACAAATTATTATTGTGCCACTTTTCTGTACACCATTAAACACTGGCTAAAATTTAATAGTGGATACAATACCTGTATTTCCACGTGTCCTTTTATGATAAAAGTATGAACAGAATATTATTACTGTGATATATTTTGCATGAAATAACAAATCCTTTCCATATATTTTAATTTTAAGGAAACTTACCCAATTGACTGAACACCATTTCTATAAGATTTGATAAAGTAATTTTTCCTTCCTTGCCTAGTGACATCAACCCAACCACCTTCATTGTCTAGGATGCCATAATGTATGGCAGCTTTACAAATACTGGATTGCTGAAAAACAATGTGAAAAGCGGTTCCATGTCAGACAAAACCACTATTTTCCATTGTAACTTAATATGAAAAATTCAGTTTTTAATCGCAATGTATCACTAAAAACTTGGTAGATAGTCTATTAAGTTTGATGTTGACTATTTAGGTGTTATTTCAAATAAAGAGAACATCCCTTTGCCTTAATTCAGAGATAAAATACACTCATTTACAGTATACTTGTTCACAGTAGCTGCTTTTTTCCTATACTGTTATACAGTTCTACATGGTAAATTATGCTAGGCATTAAACTTAAACAAGTAGAACTGTCTTACTGAAACAATTCATATGAGTGTACTCACAAATTGTTGTATTTGTCCTTCAGTTGCACCTTAACATCTGGACATGTAAATTTTATTTCTGTGCATGTAAAAGGCACATGAAGTACATATAGACAATACACGCAGAATAGCAGATGTAAACTTAGTTTGATGTTATCTTAAATAAAAGCCTACATCAAATGTTTATGGTCTTCAAAATCAAACAATCAGAGAATGGTTTGGGTTGGAAGGGTCCTTAAAGATCATCTAATTCCAACCCCCCTGCCATCCATTCTTAACAACATTTTAATCCATTCTTAATACAATTTTAATTAACATTCTAATGGAAAATACATCTCATTAAACATTCTATTTGTACAAAATCTGATTTTAAAATGTTTACCATTTCATAATGTACACTTCCAATAACCTTGGCTTTGCTATCCAAACAGCCAGCAGGACATTCATACCTAAGAAAATAAAACACAATTTGGCCTTAGATCCTGGGATTACAAAAAGGGGAAATGTTCCAGGTCACACACAAATAGGGCCTTTCCTAATAATAATAATAATCTATAACAAAACTATAGCGTAATTTGTAAAATTTACCTTACCTATTGCAAGTTGTTCCTTTGCACTGGTCTCTTAGACGTACTTCACATGAAACAATCTGAGCTAAAACAAGCAAAAAGCCATTTCACTAGAATGAATTTCATGCCACATAGTTCAAATTTGTTAACTACTTGAAAATTAGGTAAATTCCTTACACATTTGCTGTGTGCTTATTACTTCATTTTTCTCACTGTCATCGTTGCCTGTAGAGCCTGAAGGTGAATGAGTTCTTGGCCGGCTTTGCGCCGTTGCATCCTGGGCTTTGGATCGTTGCCGTTCAATCTCATTGGTTTCCTCTTCTGGTTCATGGGGAGAATAAGGCCTTTCTGAATCCTCTGTTTCAGAAAATGATCAAAGAAGATTTCTCAGATGAAATAACTCAGTGTTTGTGGAACACAATCATGTTTTGGTAACATGGCTTTGTTTTCGTAAAATGGTGGTTGAATGTAAGTAGGAAAGCAAGGAAAACTTCCCATTGTTTCATAACAAGAGATCAAGCTTCATAATACAACTCAATTGTCTTTCTGGTGCTGAAAAATGCTAGAATTTCTCTAGCAGGAGAAATTTCTCTAGTAGGAAAATGCTCCTAATGCTCCTTTTTTAGTATCTTTCTTTATGCCATCAGGAAACGAATAGGTTAAAGGTGGTATTCTTATTAGATGTTGAAAGAGTTCTACCAGGTTCGTAGATAGCTTGTAATTAAGAATCCAATTTGGTAAAAAAAAAAAAAAAAAAGACAGCTGAAAATGATGCCCTTTTACTGATACATAATGTTATTAATGTTGAAATACTCATCAGTAACCTACATTTCTTACTTAAACACTTACTTAAACAAGAAACATAAGGAATGTACTTGGAAACACTGGTGTTTTCTTTTTTTTACATATGAATAGGTGAGTAACTTTCAAAAGTTATTAACAGGAACAGCTAGGTTACACGCATACGGAGTAATGCATTCAATTACATTCAATGCTCTAAAATACTAATAACATTTTGAAAATTGTGAGGAGTTAATCGACTTAGCTGTCATTTCGTTTAATTATTAATGTCTTCTTTTCTTGTTCTTGATTTTTCTTACAGTAATGCATATGGCTATGTCACTGAGCTACTCTTTCCCTTTAAACAAATCACTGCATAACTTTCACTATAATTTACAGAAAGACCAATAAATAACATACAGCTAAAGTCTATATCTTTGTGTACTAAAAGCCTTCAATCAGGACTTAAATTAGCAGGAATTCAGTATAATCCAATCCCTCTTGTGACACTCAGCCGCACACATCACATAGTACATGATCTCATTTATCACAGTAAAGTAGGTCCCTATCCCATGTTTGGGTACACACATAATATATTCTATTTCACTGTTTTAAAGCATAATGAGGAAAGAAAGCAAAAGGTTACATTCCAATTATAACTGTTGAAATAGCACATACCTCTATAACAAAGATTTTCTCTGCAACCTCCTCCAAAACTAGGGGGACATGCAGAACAGGGTCGGCCAGGTTTATATGGAGCATGACCCCACCAGTTACCCCTTTAAATAAAAAGAAAAAAATAATTAGAAAAACAAGCTATAATGAATAATGCATTAATATTAAATATCATTAAACTGGGAAATGGTTGGCAACCTGCTAGAGCACTTGGATGTACGTGCAGAAGGACTTGGGAGTATTGGTGGGTAGTCGGCTGAATATGAGCCAGCAGTGTGCTCAGGTGGCCAAGAAGGCCAACAGCATCCTGGCTTGCATAAGAAGCAGTGTAGCCAGCAGGGCTAGGGAAGTGATTGTTCCCCTGTACTCAGCTCTGGTGAGGCCGCACCTCGAGTACTGTGTTCAGTTTTGGGCCCCTCGCTACAAGAAGGACATTGAGGTGCTTGAGCGAGTCCAGAGAAGGCCGATGGAGCTGGTGAGGAGTCTGGAGAACAAGTCCTACAAGGAGCGGCTGAGGGAGCTGGGCTTGTTCAGCCTGGAGAAGAGGAGGCTCAGGGGCCACCTTATCGCTCTTTATAAGTACATTAAAGGAAGAGGTAGAGAAGTGGGGGTTGGTCTATTCTCCCATGTACCTGGTGACAGGACAAGGGGGAATGGGCTAAAGTTGTGCCGTAAAGTTGTTTTAGGTTGGATATTAGGAGGAACTTGTTTACTGAGAGGGTTGTGAAGCATTGGAATGGGCTGCCCAGGATAGTGGTGGAGTTACCACTAGAGGTCTTTAAAAGACGTTTAGATGTTGAACTTAGCAATATGGTTTAGTGGAGGACTTGTTAGTGTTAGGTCAGAGGTTGAACTCGATGATCTTGAGGTCTCTTCCAACCTAGACAATTCTGTGATTCTGTGAATATCCTATAGGATGTTAACTATTTACTTACATTCTTTAAGGTCACAATGGGGAGATACATTTCTTTTACAGATCATCATCACAATACAATGAAGATCTCTCTGATGTTGTATGCTAAAACACAGGCCACAAAACTGAAGTCCTACAAAATCACAAGAGTATTTGTGCAGCCAAGGCTGCCTTGGGAACAAAGCACTACTTTGTAAAAGTACAAAAAAAATAATAGAAAACTCAACTAATTTCCTTTTGTATTATTTCCTGGATCATCATAAAGTATTACCTTTTCCACCCCCTACTCCCCAAGATATTTATGGGTGTCAGCCAACTTACTTAGGAGAATAATTGCATACAAGATAGACTGCTTTTGGCCAAATCTGTCCCCAGATGTTCATGTTATGACACAAATTAATTGCACAACCTATTCTGCTACTTGTTGCCCAAACAACCTATGGAAAAGGAAAGAGAAATGCACGTAAAAACCAAAACTAATTGACATGAAACAAAAATTATCTCCAAACTTCAACATACAGAACTCAAAACAGAAGCCATGCTATATTAATTGTCTTCTATTATAAAAGTCTTAGCAACCTAATTAAAACAGAGAAAAGTCCACTTGGTTCTATCCTTATTAGAAAGAAAAGTTTTACATTGATACAAGAGATAGGGCTCTCATTTTAAAATACATATATATATATATATGTATAAATGCTCTAAACATGTGTTGGCAAATGAAATGAAATGAAATGAAATGAAATGAAATGAAATGAAATGAAATGAAATGAAATGAAATGGCAGCAAATGTATACAACACATTATCTGAAGAAATGGTTCTTGGAATTAAAAAGAATAGAAAACATTGCATTACAAGATGTCACGTTCCTGTGTTCTCATTGTGTCCAAAGTTCTCACTAAAATTTAAGAATCCAAAAGGATCTCGATTGCTTAGACTGACAGAATAGGCACTTGTCAGCAGTTAGAGAATGTGACATAAAGCTTTTCACAAAACAACTCACACATCAAAAAGATTCAAGTTAGAGTTTAAACAAACATGCTTTTATGTCATTGCAATCTAATGTGGCCGTGCTCCTTTATTCATCCATTGAGACAATTTTAATTGCAGATCTCAAAATAATCTGAAAGATAAAAGTGGGGATCTTCAAAGTAGACAAATACAACAGGTGCAAAACTAATCCAAGAGAAGTAAACTGTGTAGTTCCTTCAGAACTTTAGAAGTTGATAGGTACTGTGAAGAAATAGCAACATAAAGAAGTATATCTATGTATTGTAGGTATTGCACATGATAGAGGAGTGTAATTATAGTTATTTTTACAGAAATGGTAAATAAGAATATGGAGGTAGTTCTGTCTTAAAATTTGACACAGTGGTAAATTATGATAGTAAACAGAAAACAAATCTTTTAAAACTAATCATTTTGAAGTTTTCTAATAACATATCAAATGTTTTATTATTTTATATGGGTTTTAGTATAAGACCAAGACCAGGCTGGATGGGGCCCTGGCAAACCTGATCTAGTGGGTGGCATCCCTGCCTATGGCAGGGGGGTTGGAACTAAATGATCTTTAAGGTCCCTTCCAACCCAAGCCATTCTATGATTCTATGATAATCTGAAAATTATGTATTTCCCATTCACTGAAAACACGACTGGCTCCCTTCAGAAAAAACAAAACAAAACAAAACAGGTTAGATACATAAACTTCAGAAGTACCAAATAAATTAGTACTTATGCGATTTCAAAATCCTGCTGAAGTAAAAGTAACATGTTATAACTGCTTACCTGTTGTTTGACTAGATGAATTCAATGAAGAGAACTTTTTTTTTAAAAACAAAACAAAAAAAAAAAAACAACAAACATGCTGTTTCTTCAGCAAATTCCAGAAAGGAGTACTAACATGCCAGCCGGCACAGAGATGAGATTATGCAAAGTGCACTGAGCAGACACACTGAGTACTGAGTATTGTGAGATTTTTCCTCAATCCTGTTAAGGAAGTGATAACTATGTGAAAGAAATGTAACATCTGTATGACAACCCTACTCTATGTCACCAGTACCCAATGCTTTTAACTATGGAGTCTCATAAAAACAAGCCCCTTTCCTGTTTTCCTGTATCATACAGTCACCTAACTGGAGGTCTTGACTGTACTTTTCCATAGCTGACAAAACCAAAACCCACCTACATACCTGTGTGTAATGTGTACAAACAGGACCAGAGCATTTGTAAGGACAATATGGGTTGCATTCATGAGGATGTGGATACGTGAAATCTCTCACTTCGTCATACCATGCTTGGACATGAAATGTTGGAGGCCTGTACCTATGAAAGCCAGCAGATCAGTGAACAGCTATTAGATCAGTGAACAGCTGTAAAGTCTATCATTCTTCCTTAGAGTAACAAGCACATTTTGCTAGATTTCCAAAAAAAAAAAAGATAATATACTATTAAACAGTGTCTTAAACTACCTTCCCCAGTGTGCCCCCAGATTCTGTCCAATTGACGGAAGAAGGCTTGCAGGCCCATGCTCCCATAGGCAGGTTTCAGCCCATGACTCTGCAGATCTCTCCAATTCTACATCCCATGTCTGAAATTTGAAATAAAAGAAAGGGACACCTTCTTAAAAATACTTAATGGCTACTTAATACACTTTAAAAACAGAACAAGACAAACAAATTAAAAATAAAAACTAAAAAATAATAAATAAAATAAGATTGTCCATTTTCAAAGCATCTGTTTCTGGAGCAGAAAACTAAAGAAAAAAAGCAATAGTTTAGGATTGTATGTCCTATTTTTGTTACATAAGAAATAGAAATGTTTCCACCAAGAGGAAAAAAAAAAAAAGAAAAAAAAAAACAACACTTTAATCCCTTCACAGTTTTCCCTTCAGAAAGCATGTGCAGGCATGCTGCAATGAATAAAAGACAAATAGGAAACAGAAAGGCTTAGTGTTCAACTTTCCAAGCTAAATCAAGTGTATTTTCTGTCTTGTGAGATTTCTTTTCAGTAACAAGCACTTTCCTTAGCCAAAAGCGTATTATCCAACACACTTTTTAAGGCTTTATTTCCTCTAAACCAAGTTTATTTGAAATGAAAATGATTTTCTCTCCCTTTTCTGTAATCAGCTTTCATTGAAATAATACACAGTTCAAACAAAATATAAAAACTAGAGTTTTTATATTTTTCTGTTTTTCTGGCTAGGTTGGTTAAAAAATAAAGAAAAAAGAAGGCATTCATGTTAGCAAGAGGCATGTTTAGGATAAGTTAAAGAAAAATACTATGATATTGTTTATCACAAATGTTTACCTTTTCTGTTCTTTAGAGGTATATAGAAGAATAGGTTTGTAGCTGAAAGACAGATGCAAGTTTTTCTCTTTCAAAAACATACTAAAATACACTCATATTGAAAATAAAAATTAAACCATACTTTGTATGTTTAATGTATTAACCTGGAGTTTACTCAAAGTGGTTCTTCTTAAGCAAAGTAGCCATACTGCAAATTGGCTTTTAAAATCTTTGTAATTGCAAAGTTTCCAGGTATCTGATTCACTGATACCAGTAGTCAGGTTAAAAAACTAAAATAAATGTAAGGAAACATACTGCTTGCAAAAAGTGCAGCTATTGCATCATGAGTTCAGACTAAGTTTCTCAGCATTACACTGGGTTATCTAAGTAAATAATTCAGTATTTCCAAAACCAAAATTCCATGCAGACACTGTAGATCATGTCTACAAATTTTTGGCAAATGTTGAAGGTAAAAAAAAAACTCCTCTATAGAGCCAAAGAATACACAAACATAACAGAAATTCCATGTGCTATAATTTGTTTTTCTACTGATTTTGACAGGCAGTATTCACCTTATTAATTAGGTTACTTATTTAAAAATATGTGCTTTTGGTTATGCAACATCATGATTGTGGAAAGACTAATATCATTCAAATTAATCCTAGAATATCTATTTTATTGATATATACTCTTATTCAGAAGTCACTAATGCAATGATTTCTCTTTTGTCTGTTATTATTCATAATAAATGTACTGGGTACATTTTGACTCCCAAAATGCAACACTTATTTTTGACAGAATTCTCTAACAGTGTAACAGTGACAGAACAAAGCTTCTAGCCTACATATGGATACAAAATCAACTGACTCTAGCAAACAGCATAAAATTTCTGTTCACCTTATTGGGCCAGTATTTCAATGTCATAAACTGTAGAATTCCAGTCTTAAGTCAGAAAGTTTTATGACAGTTTACAGTTTGTATAAATCTTTTCCCTTTCCTCATCTCCTCATCACACCATTATAAATAGTTCTTTTTCCTATTGTGCTCACTGTTAAAAAAAAATAAAAATTAAAACATTTCTTCCACATACAGACTTATTTTTTTTATATACTGTAGTACAATGGCTTCATGCTGGAATCATGACTCCATAACATTTTAAAATAAAATGCCAGTACAGTTTGTCCTTGCTTATATTTTACAACATGAAGACAACTCAAAATCTTATATTACTCGAGATTTAGCCCTGTATATGAACAAGTCCAAACATAAAGCTAACATACATCCCAAGTAAGTACTGTTTAGAATGGTTTTACCAACTACAGAAAAGCTGGACCAAAATGTTTGTACCTGCACTTTTTTTTTTTTGGAGACATCATGTCTCCAAAGCCAGCTAAATTTTCTTGCAGCTTTTATGAGCCTCAGAACTTGAAAATATATTCTCTTGTAAAGCATCCTCTCACAATTTCAACTCTAAAAGCATCAGTGACAGATAAAGGTGTTGCACTGCTTTGTTGTTGGTTGTTTTAGCTATTTTGTTTGTTTGTTGTTGTTGTTTTCTCCACACAAGCTTCAATATATTTTATGCAGCTATTTTAACTAAAATAATGCTTTTTGGTAGTCAGTAGTAGTTGCTTGAAGCAATTCCTCGAGCCTGTGAGCAAGCTATCTTTAAAAAACAAATATTTTAAAGACTGATGGTAACTACACATGACAGAACCATCCAGACTCTGCAAGAAGAGCCTTTTGATTAAAAACTTAAATTCATCGTTAATCCTCCTGACAGATGTACACCCATACTCACATATACTTTTGTGATTGGATATTGTCTTCAAAAAGTTTACTCAACATTTCTGTTCTTTTTTGTTAACTGTTTCTTGCCTTCAGCCACAGCATAAAATATTATATATACCTCTGCTTGCCTAGCCAGAGAGAGGCAGTTTCCAGGCGACAACCTTAGCAGCAGCAAAGAAATCATTTTCAAGAATAGGTTCAAAGTGAAGCTCTTTGCAGGAAGCACGGTGCAGATTGTATCAACAATGAGGACCTTAGGGCACTGGTATATTTTTGTCCTTTGCAGAATCATTCCTGACTCCAGAAAAGGTTGCTATATGAGCCAAAGAAGTAATTCCACTCTTCCCAAGAATACATGCACAGGATTATATCAGACAGGAATCTGCACCATTAACTAAGGACCTAGCTTATGGCTCATCATGACGTAATTACCCTATTTCTTTACATCTTAAATCTATCCCACAGGAGCTTTCCAGGGTTTTTATTTACTACTATAGCTAGGTGAACCTCATCATAGTGCACTTTCCTTGGAGCAACTTCATTTATGATTCTGCTCTGGACTCCTCTAAGACAGTAACTTATCAGCCTTCCCTGGTCACTGCCCTTCCATGTCAATCATAATGACAGGTCTAATGACAGGAACCTTTCAGACTCTTCAGTTTGTGACATATGTGAAAGAAGGAAAGGATAGACTGAAATAATGAAGAAGTTAGAACTGAGCTAATCACAATTTTTGCCAGCCTTCATCGAAAGCCAATAATTAGAGGATTAAAAGCAACTTTTGTTTCAACTTTGTTTTTGTTTTTTTTCAAATTTCCACTCTCTGATAGAAACATAAAAAGTATGCTTATTAGCACTAACAGGCTAGACAATCGCCATTTATTAATGCATCAAAAAAAATCATAAAAATGTACCAAGAAAGGCATTATTTGGCCTAATTAGATGCACTATTTTAACATTGTTAATATTGTTTACAACAATGTTGTAACTTTATATTTGTATACACATTTTTATGTTAGTTGGTCTTTTTATGAAGAAACAGGGCTTTGGCACTGTTTTACAACACTGGAAAAAGAAAAGGTTTTAACACATGCACAATTCATATTTCAGTACCCTTTGTAAAATGACTGTAATACTATCTCATGGGAACTGTCTCATATATCAAAATTTAAATAGAAGCATAAAAAGACAGGTATCTTTTTATCAGAATATAGTACAAAATTTAACCACATACATTTCATTCACAATAATTTCAACTACTAAAATTTTCATAAGCATTGATAAGAATTCTTATGACAAAATCACCAGAAATCTGACAGTAAATAGTTGGTGGTACATTAGGATTGAATTAACCCAATTATACTGCATACTCAAATACATACTAGGCTGACCAATCAACAGATAATGCCAACTTCAAAATATTGTGAGATCTGAAATGAATCAAATGTCAAAAAGCCTACTTCTATATTATAGTTTCACAACAAACAACACATCTTATTTTTCTCTCTGTGTGTACCACACAACGAAGTCATTTCAGAACAGTCAGCTGTTCAGGAAATTCTCTGTGTGCCAGAGAAGAAAGGACTTATTCATTTGTTTCTCAGCCTTTAGCACCTAAATCCCTTATTTATAAAGCCAGAAAAAAAACTACCTGGCATGGATATAGTGCACATATAGCTAGCATGGTTTATTGTCAGAAAACACTGTCCATTGTCCTGCCAGCCAATGGTAATTAGGTCCAGGAATTGTTTTTCTGTTTGTTTGTTTGGGTAGAAGGAGGTCATGAATAAATGACACCCACCGTACAATTAACATTGCTTCTTCTTAATCAAGACTTTGTTTGAGTTCAAATATGTTAAAATATGCAATAATTAATATTGTTAACAGAGCCAGTTATTTCAAAGCTAGTTCAGCTAGCTCAATGCTAAATCACAGTCTGCAGTATGGAAGTACATACCACATACATGTAGGTTACCATGTGGTAACCGTATAGCTTTATTTCTTTTTCATCTTAATTAATTAAGCATCATTATTGGTTGGGCTGGAGTAAGTTTCAAAACCACAGTGTATTCAGATGTAAAAAGGTATATACATGTTTTTATGGTTCATGTAATCAAAATGGCTTTTATTCTCCTGGTGTTCCATTCCGCCTTAAAACAGTTTAGAAAAAATAAATAAATAAATAAATAAATAACAGGAAATAAAGTGTTTGAAGAAAGGTTTCTAAAAGCACCTGAAAAGGTCCATTCCAAGCAAGTTACACAACCAAGTACTTCAAACAACTGATATATAACTGATCAGTGAATCTTTACATAAAAAGATGCTTGGCATTAAAAAAAGCCAGAGTAAGAACAGAGTAAAAACATATGAATGGCAATGGCAGCACAGGCAAACTACATCATAACAGAAGTAGGCATTGAAAAATGTTTTAACCACAATGTCAGTGATATTAAAATCTGGATACTGAAATATATTCTTATCTGGCATAGATCTGATCCTTTAAAATTATAT